TTGACTAGCACTCATAGATATGGCTGGATTGTAAACATCGTCGCCAGTCCTCAGGCCCGATTTTCCGCTATCGATGACCGCCTTCTCATTGGATCCTTGATCGGATGAAACAGGTCCATCTTTTGCAATATCCGAAGTCTCCGCTGCAGAAATTGATGGAGTGAAAGGTCTTTTCTTTGCAGGAGATTGGATGTGTGCAACAGTATTTGAGGGTGGCGACTCGCAAACGGAGATCAACGGCATCGTTTTCGTAGGTACGCCTGATTTCAGAACGGTTGAAGCCTTAAAGGGGAAAAAGTACTTAGGCACATGAATGACTTGCAGTGGAAAGTTAGTCCTGGAAACGTAACTCCGATAAAATACTCGGATATGGCGCAAAAAGGCTGCAGGTTAATTCGAGGTGCTTTGTCTACAAATAACAATGAATCAATTAACTATCCTTCTAGGTTCCTTTGAATACACACACGCACAGGCAACGATAACTGAGCCTGAATGACATCAAATCTTGGCTGCAGGGGATGAATCGCACCGGATCCACAACAGATTAGGGTCTACGAAAATGCATCAAGGAAGAAGACTACACTATAAGCACTGAGCTTCCGAGGTGCTATAAGAGTCTGAGAATGTTTTAAAGTGCCGCTTTTTCAAGACATTCTTCTTCACCCAAAAACACATCTAACACTTGTAATGCCATGTCGCCGCACTCATTAACGATACTACTGTGAATCGTTGCCTAATAACCCCCTTGCTTTGCAAGGGACTACAGGTTACAGCTTCAAAGGAATGCTAACAGCCACAACCAATGCAAACACCTAACGAGTATCATTTTTTCCTTGATACAAAGCACAGAATAAGTGAATTCATGGTCCGTTTACGGGGGCAAACATAAAATAGTCAATGGATGAACAGGATACTTCTCCGTTTTTTTCCGTGAAAAAGTATTACGTCCCCAGTGTATACTGTTCTACCGAAACGCACCCAAACACTTGATCTTTAGGGGATCTGGGGTGCACAGCTCACAAACAGCAACTTTCAGCGACAACGTTATTAAGGTTCACAGTAAGCCCTGGAGACAAAATTAAACGTGTATCAGTTCAAAGCAAATGTGGAGATGACAGTAAACGGTGCTGTTCATCCTCATCCTCCCACTTCAAAATACGCATTCAACTTACAACCGTTGTGACGAAATGGCAATAGATATTCTTACCCGGCATGACTGTAAAGCCTGTGCTTAGAAAATACCCAAGGCTCCACTTTATGACTTCGTTTGTGCATTAAAATATAATGTTTATCATATAAGTCTACATTTATCGTCCCCATCTGCGTCAGCGTAGGAACTGATCACCTTTGAAATACAGTATTAATGGATGAAAACCAAGTCTTAGACGAATAACCCCTTTTTTCAGTAGTCCATCGCAGGGTCAACGCAATGAGACGAAGCTAAAAGGAGCTCACTACATTACATATTGCCCTGCCTCTGAACCCGGTGGTCGATCTAACAGTTAGAATTACATCAACGAAATACCCTCTACCACGAGTCATCCGCAAAACTAGCGGATCAGCAGGTTCGTAATCATTGCGGCAAAAAAATACTAGCAGCCCTTCACTGCATTACTTGATTGCATAACTGGTCTGAAGTGAAAGATCGAAAATCGTCGAGGTAAGAATAGGCATTTTCGTAAACTAACAACAGCTCGATAGTTTGAAGCGCATTTTAGTGTGTAAACGACAGAAGAAGACACGTAGCATCACGTCTCCAACACCAAGGCGTACGAGTTTTTACATTACGTTTGAAGCATTAGAAATGATCCAAATAATATGTAACGTGTGCATGCAATTAATGGCGAAGCCTTGTGTGTAATTCTAACATAGTTACACCGGCAGACCACTTGGGATACACCGGCAAATCAACAGTTAAGTTTCAAGTGAGGACGAACAGCCCACGCCGAAATGGTAACTGAAAGTATACTACAAGTTATGACAACCCCCCCCCCAAAAAAATTAGCCGCGTTGAGCTTAAATGCGACTACACGAAGGTGCAGCGTGTGCCATTGCATTCAGATTGAATGCAACGGCAAAAAAGCGTGTGTCAAATCAGCCATTGTGGTACTGTATGAGAAGAGAGCCCCAGATAGCTGCTGAGCAAGCTCCCATCACTAAAGCTTATTTACTGCGCAAGTCACTACTGCACTTTAGGGGGCAATGGACGCAGTTATGAACGACGAAAGAATGTCCCTCGGCTAAAACTTTCAATCCGGAGCAAAGCACATCTCAGGTGACTGCAAAAAGTACACAATTTGAAATACTTACGCCAGAGGTGGTGGTGGTGGTGGTAGTAGTGTTGGTGGAGGCAGTCGACTCTGTTGTCGGTGGCTCAACTCCCTGGCGCGTCATTTTGGTTGGGAAGTAAACAAGGGAGGTGGCGGCAGCGGCAGTTTGAGTAGAGTCACTTTTCAGATTTTGAGCATCTCCCGTTGTGGTTTGTATTTTTGTGACGACGAAGGGATGAGCACGGTCATTAGTTGCTGAGTCTTCTGAGACGGTGACGACAGCAGCGGTGGGTATCGAGGAGCTGGTTACTTCCGCTTGGAAGACGGTATTTGTTGGTGTTGACGCTGTTATTG